AAAAGTATAGCATGTTACATATATACATCAAGAAAAGACAGTCAAGATATAAGATATATGATATAGGAGCACATACACATGCTAAAATAGAAATTAATAATCAGTCACAGGAAACAAAAAAAGAAGAGTTTAGTTTTTTTTCCAATGCTTCCTTAATCTTGGCTACAAAATATATATTTATATACGATAGTTTTTATATTTATAATGAAATACTTGTCGAGATTAATTGTTAGTACATAGACATTACAATGACAGCTGTTGTTAGTAAAATTATTGCTACAAGTAGTTGCTTAAACATTTCTTGAAAAAAAAACTAGTTAAATAATTGAATATTTGTACAAAACCAGATAATATGCTTATATTTTTTAACATAAATTGTTTACATATTTTTTCTTTAATATACTTCACCATTAATGTTTTGGGGTTTTACCAAATCTTAATGGATACTTTTTTCATGTTGGAACTATGATTTAAGATCACGAACATTGTTAGCATAAGTTGCGATATTATTACAGAGTGGTCAAGGACTGTAAACATATTTTAATAGTTAGCTAAATTCCTCTCTAGAGAAAGTAAGCTGCACATTTATCTCAAAGATGTTTGTTATATAGTCAATATTGGACATAGCTGCTTCATGTACAACTTGAGGAGTCACTTACTCATATCCTTGTGGAATCTCACTTAAGCAAGTCTGCAGTTGAGTTTCCTTCAAAACTTGAAGACAGCGGATGGCTCTGCTACTTTCTTCAGGTAGCAGTAAGATGTTTAAGATCTTCTAGTTCATTAGTGAAGCGCTCACAATAAGAAACTTTACAATAAATGAATAAATCAATCTTAACCTAATATGATTTATTATGTGTCGCTTTGGGTGGATTATCACCTGTAAATAAATATTTTTTTTTAGTGAAAATGTTTTAATACTTTCTGTTCTATAATAATAATACTTTATTTATTTTGGGACGAGTCACTTTAGAATAATTGTTGTAATTGTTTAATGGTTAATGTTTTATATTGTGAGCATTTTAATGTTTAATATTGTTTACTACTTCTAAAAGATTTATACTAATAGTATATGCTATATTTTATACAATTTTTACAACTTTAATATGTATAATATTATGTGATCTAACATTTGAATTTTCCATACATAAAAAATACAGATTTTCTTCTACCTATTTATTTATGTATATTTAGCTACATTTTTCCTGGATGAAAAGGATATGGAAAAAGCTTGTCATCCTGTACATTAAATTTCATAACGGTGCCATGACTTATCATATCAAGGGGCTGTGGTGGTCGAGTTATATAATTCGCCGGCAAAAAATTTATGCTACGAGTAATCCCGTTCACAATATTAGATAATGAAAAAGATAAAAAACATAATTATTAAATAAAACTACTCGATTACTTAGACCACTAAGGCGCGAGGTTCAATTTCTGTATGGGGACGGTAACCCCACCCTGAAATTCACAGAAAGGTGAAAGCGACCCATGTGTCTAATAACATAGCTCCTTTGGTCCTCCAGATTTCCAGTGTCCTCCAGGTCAGACAGGGCTAACAACCCTACCCCCTAAAAAACAACAACAGGAAAGAGATGTCTGCAAATGTTGCCAACCATCCTTATGAAAAGGGAGTGATTGTGATCGCGTCCGGTTATTATATACCACGTGGTCCCTGGATATCATCTACATAAGAAGAAAACCAAAATTACAGTCTATTGCCTAGAACAGCCCCGATGCTGCGAGAAGAATAATGGCGGAAGTCAATATAGTCAAGTGGAGTTAAAAAAAACAAAAAAAAAACTTACTATATCAATGATTTAAACCGCAAAGAAAATATAAATTAACTTCACTTCGCACCAATGCAATAGATATTCTCGTATCACCAGATGAATCTGCGTTTCTTCCAATCATGCAAGGAAAAAGGTTTATAATTATAGTTTTCGACAAATATTTAAAATAACTCATTAAAAACTTTAACCCTACACCTATGGATTTTTTTAGGAATCGATTTTTTATTAAATATTTAGAACTATCGGATAAAAACAACCAAGGATGCAACCCCGTATACTTTACTTATTTCAGAGTTGGAAAAATTCCTATTTAAACTTGATTTTGTCTTTCTCTACTCACCTACTTATGTAGTAAACATTTTTGCACGATATCATTTAAGTTCTGAAGACTACCAGAAACAGGTACTTTTGGATGTTTAAAGTTGGGAACTAGTGTTGCCTAAATGTGAGACCAAGAGTTGGTCTCGCGCACACAGTCTTGTTCTTGCGCAAGGGTATCGCATTGGTCTTATAGTTATCTATTAGCTTATTACTTTAGAGATATAATTATATTTTTGTAGATAGGAGAAACCTGACTAAGTCCGAATGAAAAGTTAGAAGAGTTTAATGGAAAAGTATATTGGTTATACCAATTCTTTACATGTAGTAACTAAAATCGTCAAGTATCAACTATTTTGTCTCAATTTTTATACAAAAAATCTATTTTTTTTTTTTTAACAGTCTTGGTATTGGTCTTGAAACAATTAGGCAGTGTTGGTCTTGATCTTGCAAAGTGCAAGACCGAGACCAATTTTGGGTAACGCTCTCGGGAACGGGTTGCCGAAAACTGAGGGATAGAAATATGTTTACGTTATACTATAAAAAGGTAATGTTTGACATATATATTTTGAAATTAGAGATCTTTATTGACTAAGGGTTTTACCATCATAACTTATTATGTAAATTGTTTCTCAGCAGTCAATGTCGCATGCATTTGGGAGGATATTTTTAATTTAAATTACTTCAAGGGATGTCTTGGGAGTCGGGAGCTGGATGGTGGCCGCACGGAACAGAGATGGCTGGAGGAAGCTGGTGAAGGAGGCCAAGACCCGAGTTGTTGCGCCGTGATAATAAATAATAATAATAAATAAAATGGAAATACTATAACTATTAAAAAAATAACTAGCCTAACAAATAGGTTGGCTCTCTGAATTTCAATACAACACCGATTCGTACCTAATAACTTCGTGCGGATTTCCATCCAGCAGGGCCTGAATGAATGAAGAAAATATAACGAGGGTAGAGAAAATCCCCAACTATTTTCCAGAGGATGATAAAATGGAAAAGAGGTGGCTGTTGGGCAGGGCAGGAGGGCCGAATTTTAATGAGATACCCAGTATTTTTTTCTGGAGGGAAGGACCAATCACATAATCCTTTGTTTAATTAGGTTCAGATTTCCTTCACGAAGAAAATATCTTCCTTGTCTCCGGATTAAAAATTCACAAAGAAATAATATATATAATTAAAAAAGTCCGTAGTATAATGAATATTGAAGCAACTAATAAAATATATATTTTTTATGTCTATATTTAAGTCTTAATGAAAGATTCTTTATAAATGATAAAAATTAAGGGTGTTCTCCCATAGAACTGAAAATAGCTATTAGTTTTGATATAAATAAATTATTATTTTAAAATTTGTTTATTATTATAAATAAATTAATATTATTACTCCTGGATTTAATTATCATATAACAATTAAAATGTTAACAATAATTAAGGTAACAAGAAATTATAGTTAAAATATGAATTTGTTTATGTTTTAAAGTAACTGAATTATTTATTTTTGTAAATAAATAATAAAACAATAGATTGTTGCTGTAAAATAAAATTTGGATAGATGCACATTAGTAAAAAAAAATTAAATTAAATAACAATACTATGTATAAATTAACTTTATGAATCCGCTGGAATAAAAAAAAAGTTTATTTAAAATCCAAACATATTACTTTTACCCTTCGACGCAATTCCTGTCCACCAGTCTACTTCAACTCCATACCACTTCCCCTCTCCGACACAGTCCGGTATCTTGGCTTCATTCTATACAAAAGACTAACATGGAACCCACAAACCAGATTTAAAAGGCAACAACTTAACAGACGATACAGACAACTATATAGACTATTGAATAGAAAATCTCAACTTTCAGTCGACAACAAATTATTAATCTACAAGACAATCCTGAAACCTATTTGGACCTACGGAATAGAACTGTGGGGAACAGCAAAACTTTCTAACATCAAACGCATTCAATCCTTCCAGTCTAAAATCCTCCGAACAATAGTCGATGCTCCCTTCTATGTATCCAAAAAAACCCTCCATAATGACCTTCATATACTATTTGTTATTGACCTAATCCCAGAAAATTTTTCAAAATTTCACCAGAAGCTCACTCATCATCCAAATCCTGTAGCACAATCCCTATCTAGCTCCAGTCATCACTACAATCCTCCCCGGAGGTTAAAACGGCAGTGGCCCCGCGACCTTTTGTAAATATGTATATATTGGAGTACTGGCAATGGCCAGATTCTCCACTCAAGACATGAGCGTCTGTTGCTATAGTGCCCTCCATCAGTTTCCACTGGTTTCAAATAACAGTGACGCGGCTGATAGAGAAGCACTGGGATCTCCTGGAGTCCTGCCTTGGCTTCCACGTTGGGGAATAAGGCATGACTCAGAGTCCCCTGGGTGAATGTAAATATTGTATCTAGGTGTGAATGTGATTTTTTTACTTTAATTTCATCTAGCTTTTATCTATTATTCCATTTTTTTTTTTGTACACAGGCATACCAATTTACTTATTTTTTTTTTTTATATATTTTTTTCTTTATTATTGATATTAATTGTATGTACATATTGTTTTAATGAATCATGTAGCCTTAATATTAATGTCCTTCAATGTGGCAGAATGTATTAATATTCAATAATAATAATAATAATAATAATAATAATAATAAGGCTTAGCGAATCCGAAGGTTCGATGCCGACACCACCAAGTTAATATTCAATAAAGAAAGTAAAAAAAAAAGTTTTAATATATAGCTATATTAAATAAATAAAATAAAGTATTTTAAATATGCAACTGTTCGGGCGCCAAGGTCACGGGACAGCTCCATCTTGAAACGAGCAGGCCAAGCAGCGCCCTTCCACTTCTTCCTCAGTCTTCGACATGCTCCTGAACGAGGTGGAGGATATCCTCCGCGAATTCTACGGATCCTGGAACATCGGGCACACCAACTTCGTCTTCAAGCTCCACTACCTCGTCAGTTTTTATTTGTTGACCATTTTCATCTTGGCCAGTTCAGTTCAACTCTTCGCCAAAAACTACGTTAATTGTGTGGGCACGAAAGGTGAGACGGAAAATCACATCGATAAGTTCGCATACTACTTCTATACTTTCACAAGGGTCGAGGACAAATATGGGGTATTGAAAAATGACATGGTTGTACACAGTTATTACTTTTGGGTCCCAGTTCTTTTTATTTATCATCTCTTTGTCTTCAGATGGACATATTACGTTTGGCAAGGTTGTGGAGGAAAACTTCTCAGAAAACTCGATGAAGACAAAAACAAAGCAAAAATGTTCGCTATATACATTGAACAACGGGTTAAACACAAACTGAATGATAAGTGGTTATTTCAGCTCGTGTTTTTAGAACTGCAGAACATTTGTGTGTGTGTACACCAGTGGATAACTACAAATTATATTTTGAACGGTAAATTTTATCAGCTAGGTTTAGATCTATCTTTTGAAAATTTGAAAAAGATATTTCCCTACGAGACCAAGTTTACTTTCACTACATATGGTCCATCTGGTTCTATACAGGAAAAAGATTACATGTGTATTCTTGGACTCAATGCTTTGTACAAGTACATATTTTCTTTCTATTGGTGGTGGTTAGTTATCTTGACAACTCTTACTGTCCTAAACATTATCATGCGTATAGCGCTGATCAAGTATCGTCCATTAATTTGGTTCTGGGAAAAAAACAAGGAAACATGGCTGCTGACAGATAAGAGGTGGTTTATCTCGCTCCGCTATTCCGATTGGTTGTTTATGAAATATCTTCAAGAAGCAGTTTCTTTGAGAAAGTACAGATACGTTGTTAGGCTTTTGGCGGATCCGGATCTGAGAAGACTTCCTGGAGAAGATTCCTCTCCCGAATCCAGTGATGAAAACGGAAGTGAGGAGGATACTGAGGAACATGAAGAAAGTAAGCGACATTCATATTCATTTTTTCATTTCATATTCACTCATGCATTTATATTTTATATTCATATTTATATTACTAATTCTTAAATTAATTATAGTAGGTTTTAATATATCATTAAATTTGCACATTTCTGTTTCCTACTGACAATTTTATCTCTTAAAATATATAAAGCTATAAAACATTTTATTAACAGAAAAAAATCTTTATTACGTTTCATCACATGTTTTTTATCAGTAATGTTTTGATCTTATTATGGCTATTTTCAAATATATAATTTTATAAACTACGTACTAATCTAAAATATAACTTTTAGTCTCATATTGAAAAAAAAAAAACAAATTGTCGAATTTTCATTTAGACAATATTTTTTTTTTCTTGGCAATATTATGGTGGCATTCTTTTTTTTTTTTTTAAATATTACTAATGCATATTTTATACGGTAAAATTAATTCAAGCTCAAAACTAAAATAACGCATAAAACAAATAGTTGACCAAAATTTTCAATTTTTATTTAATGAAACATTTATTTATTTAATCATAAATATGTAGTGTTGAAAATTTCAAATTTAAATCAATTATTATATTTTATCAACACAAATGTGTATATGAGTAATTTAGTCCAATGTGCTTCGAACAATAGTTGATGCTCCGTTCTATGTAACCAACCAAACCCTACACCTTGAACTTAATATCCTATTTATCCTAGACTTTATCACTGAAAATATTTTAAAATTCTACCAAAACCTTTACCTCCCTCCACCAAATCCATTTCCACAACCCGTATCTAACTGTACTCATCCGTTTAATACTCCCTGAATGGTGAAGCGGAAGTGGCCCACAGAGCTGTTGTAAAAATATTATAAATTATAGCGCCTTTGCTCAGCCTCCATTGGTCCTTAATATCAGTGATGCGGCTGAGTGTGAGGCGCTGGGATCTCCTAGAACTCTGCTTTTCCTTCCGCGAGTTAGGAGAAAGGATTGCTTCGGAGATCTTGAATGAATGAATTGTTTGTATTTAAGTAGTTATTTTGATTAGTTTAGTTTCTTTTTGTTTGGTTTAGTATCTTTTAGTTTATATCCATTTAGTATTATTATTTTGCTATTTATTTGTTTGTGTTCATAGTGTGTAGTGTGAATGAGCTACTCTTTATCACTATTACTAGTGTCCTTAATTGTTACAGATTGTAATATATCTTAATAAAGAATTTAAAAAATAAGGTTTAATTGATTTGTTAATACTTCATATATATTTAAAGTGAATAAAATATCATTAAACAATGCTGTCTGTATACAGGAGAGAGATATAGAGAACTATTGAGGACAATAATGCACCCCATCCCAATGCTTACAAATGGAAATAATGGCGGCGACGGCAGATCTGGAGAGCTACGTTTTCGGGCAAGAGGTCGTCATTCAGGTATATTAATGTTAATCAAGGTTAAAAAATAAAAAATTATATAACATATATATATATATATATATATATATATATATATATATATATATATATATATATATATATATAAATATATTATATTAAATATATTATATATATATATATATATATAATATAAAATAGAAGTATATATGCTTTAAAAGTACAATAAATTCAATAAGATAAGTAGACATATTTCTCTTCTACGTTTATGCGAAATTTTTTTTTCTTTTTGTCTATTTTTTTAAGTGATAACTTCTCAAGGCGTTATTAAAATTCCATTTCGTTGCCATTCCACTTATTCCACTCGAGTCGAATAATTTAAGGTAATGATATCCAAGAAACTAAAAATCGGATCTGTATTCTGTAAGCAAGGAAATTATTTATAATATTATCTTCTTCGGTATGTCCTATTATTCAAAATTTTATCGTGTCAAAAACCAAATGATAATAAATGGCTTTTCATGAATTTGGATTAACATTTCTCAAAAACTAAAATTCGGACTCGCATATTGAAATCGCGAGGAAATGTTCAGCATTTTTGTAATTAGCTTTTATTCGAACTTGTATCTTGCTGTGGCACCGAGTTAGAGAGGCAAAAATGGAAAAAGATAGCGCTAATAATTATAAATAATAATAAAAACTAATATTTCCGCCTTGTTGATATTTTCACTTCTATCCTGTAGTCTTAAGTACACACCATAGTCGTTTTCTCATTTTTTGCCCAATCAGTTTTATTCACCACGTCGATTTATATTAAACCAGCTGAAATTCGAGGATTCGCATTTTAAGAGAATAATTTATTACAGTTTTGAGAAATATGTGGCTAAAGCTCTCTCGCTCAATCTTTAGAACCTGTGACGCGGTTGAGAGAGTAGGGTAGGGATCTCTTGTAGTCCTGCTTTTCCCTCTATAGTTGGATATACAAGCCTGGCTTGGGGTTGCCTACCTGATTATATATAGGTATGACTGAATTTTTATGTTTTAAATTTATTTTATTGTTTATTGTTGTTTGAGTATTATTTTACTTTTTTTAATTTTATGTTTGCTCTATATATGGTATGAATGTGTTCATAGCTCACTATAATTATTGTCCACGTGACAAATCATTATATTTCTAAATAAAAAAACAAAAAATGTTTTGAGGAAAAGGGGAAATGTCTATTTTAGTCCAGTAACCTTGTACATCGTAAGTAGCACTGAATGGGGGTAGAAAGTTTCTTTTTATTTTCTTGTATACGATATGACTGAGATACAAAATCCAAATTTTAGATCTCCCCTCTTCCCCGGCTCACCGGATCACTTTTGAAAATCCCAAAAACTGTTATATTTGTTCACTCTTTTTTCTCTGCGTTTTATCCATGAAGCAGCACGTTTTCGGCAAAAAACTTCAATATATTTTTAAACAATATAACGTATGTCATTAGTTAAAACCAAAACCGACTTCATAAATTAAATAGTATACGAGATATATGATTTCAAAGTTTGGAAAATTTTACTACACCTTTAAATTATATTTCATGATTAATCCTATGCAATAGTGTTTTATCTTCAGTAACCTGTCTTACATGAGTCAGTGAAGTCAATATTTACTCATTTTAATATTTAGAAGGAGTGGAGGGGAAAGGTTTGGTGGGAGAGGGTTGTCCATGGGCAAGGCATACTACCGTGCATATACATATATATTCTCCTACAAAAAAAGTAGCCGCAGAGTCCAAACATGGCGGATTGACGATTTTGATTTGAGTTAGTTATTAGGTGACTGAGAATCAGCAGTTGGCTTAATTTCGTCATAATTGATCTTTTATTAATGCGGAATAGTTAGAAAATAACAAAACATATTTTTTTTTTAAAATACAGTAGACCTTAGCAATAAAATACCGGAGAAATCATTCAAATTAAAGTTAAAAATCAGGCGTCATTTGCAATTAAACTGCCAACAATAAAGGAAAAAATCTAGAAACGAAACATCTAGAGAATAAATTTTCCTTTCTAAATCACTGATTAAGTTTTAACATATTTGAAACGGTTCTTTAGAAAATACACATATTAATAGCGGCACTGCCGTTGACTCCTACATTCCACTGCTGCCTTATTCGGTTATCATAAATGGTATAGCTATAATGCTACTCTCTTCATCTGTCCATTACATATATATCTTCCACCAAATAATGTTTCCATCAGTTCCTTGTTATATTTTCAAAAATTTGGATCTTTTCAATAGTGATCGCAGAATTTATTTTTTCTAGCATTTTTTTCTTCTCCTATTTTAATATATATTTATATATTATACTATGATTTGTCCTCATATCTATTACTGCTCGCTGAAATTAAATTTCTGAGTCGAGGAGAGTTGTGAAAGGCGCGGTAAGCCTTTTTTGTTGCCTTTTGTTCATTCAAGTACACTAATTTTATCAATTAGCTTATAGTATTAGATTTATATAAATCAATAAACGGTTTCTATCTTTTATTATATATAGTCATTACTATGTTCATGTATTTTATTTCTTCAAAATAATAAATTAAACAAATGTTTACTTCACTAACTCTAAGACAGGTTATTGATGACATAAATAAACATGACAATTAGCCTAGAATTTTCAAGTTTGATAAATTTCATTTACCTGATTTACAATTTTCGTATGTACTTGATGTAAATGTTCGTTGACTAATTTCAATTTCAGTCTTCTGGTTGTGAAAAGTGATCCCTCCCTCTCCTACCAAACCTCTACCCCCTCCCTCACTCCTCCTTCAAAACGTTAAAATGAATAAAAATTTACTTCACTGATTCATATAACATAGAACATAAACAATTGCTTTCAATTTCCAAGTTCGAAAAATGTCTGTAAGTTTGAAAAATTTTATCTCAAAAAGTATTAAATTTACCGAACCTGTTTTAGTTTTAAATTGTAGAATATTTGATCTAGTTTAAAAATGTATAGAATAATTTTTGGCAAAAACGTGCTTCTTCATGGCTAAAACGAGGAAAAATAGAAAAAGTGTAAAAATATAGCGGTTTTGGTGGATTTTCTAAGATGATCGGGATGGACACCGAAGTCGAAAACTTGGATTACGCATCTCAGTGACATCTCATTCCAGAAAAAAAAAATTGCTACCCCCATTCGATGAAACTTTAGACCCTCCCCCCCCATTTTCATTACAACGTTACTAGGCTACTTTCAACAAAAAAAAAATCCATTCGGAATATGGTAGTTTTCTTAGCCTACATGGGTACGGCAATCGCCTTCTTTAATATTGTCATCTGCTTTGGATACTTTAGGTGTATTAGTACAGTTTAAATTTTACAATACAAGTCGTGTTGTATCATTTCAGGGCAGAGAGCTAGTGAAAGACCTATAATGTTGGAGTTACTTCCTAGGCCAACCAGTATTGGTCATTATAAAGGAAAAGTTGAACCAATTCCTGAGGAAGAAAGTATTCCTGAATCGAGTAAATATTGTATTTATTTTTATACAAAACTTACCTTTAGGTATACCTTAGACATATCTTATACATACCTTTAGGTATGTCTTGACCTTTAGCTTTTATTCGATATACACTGAGTATATTTAAATTTACAATATACAAAACCATTAGTATTATCATTATTATTATCACATAATTACATTATTAAATTACAGTAAAGTTCATATCATAATTTTATTATTTATTTTTTAGTCTTAGAAAAAAGATTTACTTGGAACATACATATCAAATTAAAAAGACAGAACTGACTAGACGATATATTCAACTTTCACATCTTCTAAATCTTCACTTAACTTACAAACCAATTGATTTGTCTACAATACCATACTAAGACCAATTTGGACATACAGGGCAGAATTTTAAAAATCAGCCAAACAAATACACAAAAACTAACTACATTTAGCACTATCGAAATCTACGAAAAATTATCAAAGGATCTTGATACATTTTAAATAACACTATCCATAAAGAATTTAACACCAAAACAGTAAAATCCTACATCACTGGCAAATACATTTATTTCGTTCTTCAATCCAAAGTCACTTCAATCCACAAGTTTTTTATATTTCCGGCTGCCTGTTACTTGATGGACGCAAATCAAAAAGAAAATTGCTAAGAGACCTACTCCTACAATAATAAGATATTGAAAACATTTGAAGCAAATATGAATATATAAAATGAGCTAAATGCGCTTGCAGGGCTGAGGCAAATTGCATAGAAAATAAAAATAAATTATTTTTAAATAATTTTTTTTTACAATCATTTAGTTCGTAGGCTTAAGTTTGACTTTTTGGCATGAAGTGTGATATTTTAACATCCATTGGCCATTTACATTGCGAATTTCATGGAATAAATAACGGGTAAATTTATTTGATTCACTGAAAGTAGACGATGTTAATGGTTAATTTTGATTTTTTAATGTTATGATACTACACTGTTTCACACTTTCAGGAAATGAAGACATAGAAGTTTTGGTGTACACTCCCCATCCAGATCAAAACCAAACTAATGCTGATGGTGAGAGGCCGGAAGCAGATCCATTACTTGGCGCCATTCCTGATTCAGGTAAAATTACTTTTAAATTTTACCTTTTTAACTCGATTCATTTTAAATTTTAAAAGAAAATAACGATATATTTTTTTTTATAAAATGTTAATAAAAATTAAAAAGCTTGAGCACCAGAGCCTCCTGATAAAGATCGTATTATCTTAACATCTTTGTTTAGGAAACAGAAAAATGATTCAATTGTTCCATTGAAGTTGACTTCAGGAGTTTTAAAATCAATTGAAAAACTTAATTCCTTTGTTAGAGTCTGGTATGGTTTATTATTTTTATTTATGAACCATTGTAATCGATGTAAAAAATAAAAAAAAGGTAGCTCTTTAAAATTTTAGGATTTACGCTTCACGATACGTAAAAACTCAAAATTCTATAAAAACAGATTATCTGTCCATGACTTTTCCCCTAGACTGCTGGACCAATTTTATTAAGAGTTGTAATCAAATTCAGTGAGCACCCGAGGATGACCCTTAAAAATCGAAATTACGATCAGACATTTTCATCCGAAATGGAGACTAAAAAACTTATCTTGCTGTATACTGTAACCATTTTAATAAAACTTCGGCAAACGAAGCATTCGGCTCGAAACTGTTTAAATATATAAAACATACTTTCCGTGTGATTTAGGAAATTTCCTAAGAAACGGGAATATAATTATTAAAATTGGTCCGGTCGGAGCAGAAATTTATCATATGTTCTTTTGCAAAACCGACCTCATTTGTTTTCCTTTTCAACTGAATCAATCAAGATGGTTGTCTGCATTTCCTACCAAATAATGTAGTGTTACATTTGATATACAACTATAATGTTACCTAAAATTGGTCAGGGTTTTGCATTTTCGTAAACCAAGAATGAGCCCGGAAAAAAAAAGTGGGAATAAAATAAAATAAATTTAGTTACATGTAATTATTTCATAAAATGACAATAATATCTCTTTAATATTTAATGGTAATTTTTTTTTTAAAGTTATTAAATTGATAACGTCTATATCGCACCAGTTTTAGGAAAGTTACAGTGTATTGATCTTTATACGCTGAATTTAATAATTGTTTACTTCCTCGTTTTTAAATTGCTTTATTTCATCAAATAAATCGTACTGTAATGGTTTATCTGATGTAATGTAATGAAATATCTGAACAGTTATCACGAAAATTAGTCTAATTGAGCTGTGCTATGTTTAATGGAAATAATTAAAATTGAAAAAAAAAAGACCAGATTTTAATATTTTAATAAATGGGGAAATTGTATGTATTTCATTTACTCTACATATCTTCCATTCCAAGGTGGGGTCTATCATTCTTGACAGTGCCATTAATGAATTGTCAAGTTAATTTTATTAATTTAGTTGGACTTAACTATGTTTATGTCAATAAATAATCCAAATCTACCTATTCTGTTAGTTTTTTATAAGATTTCAAGTAACATGTTTAATAAATAGAAATAAGCTAATATTTAACTGCAAGACTCTTTCTAAATTATATAACTATTTGAAAATATTAAACAATTGTACATTAACTTTATTTATTTTTGGTGGGCGGAATAAAATTTTGATTCTACATGAAGGTACAACTAATGTGACCTCAACTCAATTTCTGTACAAATTTCTCCTAACTCGATTTAGAGGGGCTGTAAATTAAAAAAAAAAGCTTTAAATACAGGAAACAAACCTTATAAAACAAGATAAACGGCGAGAAAAAAAGATGGACTAAAGGGAAAAAAGTAGAAATACCATTTTCAAAATATCCTTTTGATGATTGAAAGGACGGATGAATAAAGGTAATATGTGTAATTATAACCTTCTTCAATAGAAAGTACCCTCTTTATTAGTGTAGTCACTAATTAAGTCGTCAGTATGTTTCAAATTTCAATGTAAACATTGAAGTCTGTTATGTTTAACAGGAGCATCTGTAGATCCTGACGTGAAAACACTCGTTGAGTAACTACCCAATGGTAGCACTCTAATGATATGTCTACACTAGGAGATCACAGACCTTCTTCTTTTCAGGCCCCTCGGAGGGTTATCAGGAATTGAAGAAGAAGCAAGGTTAGAAACGAGAGGGTTGGGATGATTCTGAAGTTTATTATGAAGGATTTGGATTGGGCCAGATCTGAAACATAAAGAACATTAAGGTCATTATGGATGGTTTTATTTGTAACAAAGTAGGAAGCATTGAGGATTTCACGAAGGATTTTGGATTGTAAGGATTGGGTACGAGAGGAATTCGATGGTTTAGTTGAGCCTCATAGCTCAACTCCGTAAGTCCAAAAAGGCCTTATTTTAATCATGTATATGAGCCTTTGTAATTTATTGGAAGTTTAGAGCGTTTGTATAGTTAGTGCTGAAGTAATCGGAAACGTCAAGCGCTTTCTTGTCGTTTCAGTCTGGTATGGGTAAATTATTAACTCTGTATAAAAGGAAAAATGAGGGAAACAGATGAAATAATTTTAGATTTACCAATAATGGAATCACAAACAATAGCATTAGTTCTGGAACTTCTAAGTTCATGTTAAATTATTATTATAGTTAAATAATATAAATATAAATTTTATTTTTTCTGAACTGTAAATATGACACTTTCTATTAACTTTTTCTATTTGATCCTTCAATTTTGATTGTTTAATTAATTATTATCAAACGATTTTCTTGGGTGCTAAATTTATTAGATCCTTAAAACTGAAAGTGAACAAAAGCGATTAAATAATATACATTGGTTTATAATTTATAAAATTTTCTTTGGGATAAGATGGTACTAGATAACTTATATCTATCACCATGGACATTTTTCCATGTTTGAAGTTAATTATTGAACATTGTTCATATTACTATTTAGTTATGTAAATGATTTGGATTTTGCAATAATTTCTATATTGATTGATAATAAATAATTTTAAATATAATTTATATAATGTATATCGATATATTTATATTTAGATATATATTAATTAAATAATTTATTTCATAATTATTTTCAAAACCATCGCTTAGTATTAATGAATTGTACTATAGAGGAAATTTATAATGGATATTTAAGTTTGGACTTAATTGAATATATTACCACTTAAATTTAAACCAATTGAAAATGTGGAAATTCTCGGTTCTATTTCTGCACGGTCCAAATATCAGAAAGGCACTTTCATATTCTTCGTATTTATTTTTATGTTTATAACTAGAAATTGTTATGTGCCGTTTGAATTAATAAACACAAATTTTTTGTAACAATTATATCAAATTTATTTTAAAATGTAATTTTTATTTGTTAACTGCCGGTTGAATGATACCGTTACTTTTCCATGATATAAATTAATCTTATCAAATTTAGTTATTTATGATTATATACTTTAGCCGACATTATAACAAATATTACTATATTTCTGTTCCCGGAGGTAAAACACACCATGACCATTTTTGTATTTGTTCAGGGCAGCCAATGTTCTGTAGCTGAGTGCTAGTAAAATTCGTCTTAGTTACTAAATTATATAATTGAAAAATGGGCATGCTGCATTTTACCTTCGAGGCACAGATTCAATCCTAAAAATAGAATGATTTTTGTTTACTGTCAACAGAAACTGGTTCTTCAAAGTCAGACGAAAGCGATGGAGTTCAGTTGAACGTCACAGAAAAAAACATCCAATATAAACCACATAAAAAGAATTAAAAATGTCTTTCAATTTGAATTTGTAATACACATGAATAATTGATTCACCCTTAATATTTTTTTCATTTTTATATTTTTTGTTCATTTTATACTCTTTCTTTTAATAACTTTTATTAAGAAATACTATTTTTATTATTATCCCTTGTTTATGACAATACTTTGGATTAGAATTAATTAATATTCTTTGTAGTGAATAAAAATTTAATTTTTTTTTTTTTTTTTTTGTAAAAACTGGATTAAAAAGATATACTGGAATACAAATATAGATAAATATTGTGGAATCATCTAATAATATTAAGTAAACTAATGACATTTATATTTTATTTTTTTTTCAATTTTCTAATTCCTTTTCGAAACATCCATAATAGTTAATATGAAAAAATATTTATATAAAAGTCTTAGAGTCTTAGAAGTATCTCCTTTGTCAGTTTCAGAGTTATATTTTTAGCAGTCAAATTTTTCGAAAGTAAATTTTCTCATTGAACAGCACAGATGTTTTAAAAAAACACCTGGAAAGAGTACTAGTATTATTAAACATATGTTGCCCTATTACAATGCTATACAAAACGAATACACCTAATATATATATATATATAATATATATATATATATATATATATATATATATATATATATATATATATATATATATATATATATATATATATATGTATATATGTATATATATATATATATATATATATATATATATATATATATATATATAATATATATATATATATATATATATATATATATATATATATATATATATATATATATATATATATATAATGAAGATGATATTTTTTTATTTAATATCCTTTACTTCTATAACCTATGCAGGTTCGTCTTTGGTTAGGTTAAATTTTTTGGGGTGTTTTTCTTGATCTGGAGTAAAAATTTCTTGTGAGTAGATGGAAAACTGGATGCCAGACAGTACTATATTATCCTTCCATACCATGCAATGCCACCTGGGTATAATTTGATTAGGTGGAAGTTTATTGCTCAACAAGATAAAAATCAAAGTATGATATTTAATTATTTTATAGAATTTAACTAACATTAAATAAAAAACAATAAGTTAATATGAAATATGTAATGTTAGATTGTATTATAAAAAAAAAAAACAAAAAAAAAGGAATGAAGAATTCTAATATTAAAATAAATGTTAACAGATACACTCAGCCTGAAATGATTTAAACAAAGCCTCTTGACTTTAAGTATAAAGAGCAAAGACTGAAGTATGTAACAAAATAGAGAAATTTAAACAATAAGGGAGTAAAAAGTCGAACAACGGATTCGTCTCTATATTTTTTAATAATTGTAAATAATGCTAATTTAAGTATATATTATATCTAAAATGACTGCAAGATTAAATTACTTTACAATTAAGAAGTTAAAAAATACTTTTAAATTGAAACATTTAGCATCATTGATAGAACTAACATAAAAAACACCAGGCTAACAATGCGTCATAGCAGATTATAACAATATATACTTTCCAATAGGCTGTTCACACAAGGTTTTTCCAAAGATCTAATAACAACATGTGATAACAACTTAAATATACTTTATTAATTTATACTCTAAGTGTGAATTTTATTCTACTCCACTATAACTAATGTCCAAGTGACATATTGCTGTAATAGTCAATTAATAAATAAAAAAAAATGTATACCCTATCACATAACAATTAATATAATGATTTGGTTTGTTCGAAGACTTTTTCATACCACTGTACATTTGTTTTTGTTTAACAAACCGTAAAGTCTTAAGTATGTAACACAGTTAACCCGTCGACTTTTCGGCAGTTCGGGCATCATTAAGGCATACACCTTAGAAGTTATTTGGTGTTTATCATATTATTATTTCTTTTTACATATTAATTTATTTAACACATTTTTATACAATTATATTTATATATTTTTGTATCCGTTACATATTGTTTTCCCTCCTTCATATCAGCTATTTGCACTAGCTGGTCCAGGATTTAATTTTGGGGGGGGGGCTTCAGCCCGAAAGCTTTTTTTTTCATAAAAATAACGATAATTACTTTGGAAAAAATAAATAAACTAACTACCTATATGAAATGGTGTTTAAGTGATTCCTAAAGTCATTTCAACTGTGATTACATCAATAATAATATTTTAAGAGGTAATTTTAAAATCTTTTTACTATAAAAAATGGTTATATTTTACCATTTTGGGGGAGGAGGAGGCTTCAGCCCGAAAGCTCCCTCCCTCCCCGTAAATCCGCCCGTGGCTATTTGAACATAACTGTATTTATGCAATCTCCCCTTTTCTTTAGTATGTTTCAGTTTGGTACATTGTAGGAATTTTAGTAAATGTAATATTTAAGACGTTGTTCGATGAAGAAAGATGTCAGCAATGAAACAGTAAAATAGATCAATAGCTTCCTCAAAATATGAAAAAAAAAATGCGGAGGAAATTAAAAGAGCAGCAATCCCAACTTCATGGCCTTTTATCATCATCAAAAGAAGTCGAAAGAAGGTTGCCAATGCCTGTTAATGTCTGAATACGATCATAAAGGAAATACCGAGGGTAGAACAGCATTGTTCAGAAGGAAATAGGGAAATGTCTTACAGATTACCCAAAAGAAAAACCTGGAAACACCATCCATACGAAAGAAGGCGAAAAACTGTATATAATTTCATAAAATGTTATAAACCAAGTTGCTTAGAGTGATAAAAAAATAATTGTCACGATTGCACACCTTCTTTTTTCTTTATTCTTAACGCTTCAGTTTCTAAAGTTATAAAAAATAATTAGATTTTGTACATAATTTTAAAATATATATATATTATTTAATTTTGAAAATGTAAAAATTGTTTAAATATAAAAAGTATACGGTTAAGGTACATTTTATTCAATAAATGCCCTAAAATTCACAGAATACGCTGCATCTGTCAGACTTGTGTTACTCACAGTGCAGTATAGTAGTTTGTTACCAGTTGAGGGTTAATTATGCTTGTACATGTTTCTACTATTACAAGTTTAAAACATAGACAAACAGCGAAGCCAGTACCATCCAGTAGTTTGCTGACCGCCATATTTTTTTTATCATTCAACTATATTTCTATTATTATAAGTCCTAAATAATGGTGTTTTTTCCCCTCTTCGAAGGCCATACAGTGACATCATCTTAAAATTATCATTTGAGAATATCTGCTTATAAAAAAAAAATGTTGGCAAAGCTTAAACAGAAACAAATAATTCTTTCTCAGACATGACAAATAAGTGAAAGCCCTGTTGGGAAAGAAACAGGGCCCGGAAACCGGGAGCCTCCAAATTGGGTTATGTCAAGTATTTGTCTTTCCCAGAGTCCTCGAGAAAACTAGTTAAAGGTAGAATGTAGTTATATCCACTTCCCTCAGAAATAGCATTGTCTGTAACCAATACCGCTTCTTTCAAACTAAGCTTATTTTGTATATAAACAACAAACAGATAAATATAATGACAATTCACTTTTGTCGAATAAAGTTCAACCTATATTTCCGAAGCAAAATCATCAAAGATAATTAATCTAAGAATAAATATTATTTCGATCCTCTACTCTTATTGTTTTTAGTCCAAACGATAACTTGAAATGAATCAATTTCCTAAACCTACAAGATTTTAATTACAGCTGTTGGTGAAATTTATAAAAGACGCTTTTGTATATGTAAGCATATAGTGTATTCTTCTGAATAATTAAGTTGTTTATAATCCAATTAATTTTTCTATTGCAAGGGAACAAATCGCGTAAATTTGGACTGAAACAGAATTCAAGCGGTATAGAACGTATATATAAATGATCTTACATTTTGATTAATAAAAATACATTCATATTTAGGTAAAAACATGAAATAAGAGTGCGTCAAAGTAGGATAATGTAGACTGGGGGTGGGACCTGAGTCCACTGTAGTCTAACGTGGACGGCTATCAAACACGGAACTCAAATTTCCCTTAATTTTACAAACATGCATTTATAAAAGCTCATAAAACGTTTTTAAATAAAATATTATTACTCAGAAACAACTGGAGAAAAGAAAGAAAAACGGAAAGATAAATCTTAGTTGAAATTTCTGTAACTGGATACACTTTTCAAAGCTACATACGATACCCAACGATATTAGCTAGGCCTAACTCCCCCCACACCACTTTTCTTAAGAGCTTAATTGTGTTTCAAAAATGCATGATAAAATTCGAAACTTTAAGCTTTTTATTCTCATAACCTAATTTTTAATTTCCTGAGAATAACAGCAGTTACAGAAATATACAATGTATGTATTGGCAAAAGGTTTGGAAAAATATTAGGTTAACTAAATATTTACATCAATGATAAAAAAAAAATAATGTACAAAAACGTTTCTCTAATAATTTCTCAAAATCTGTTACTAAAAAGAATGTAAAATGAATAATAACAATAATAAAAAAAATTGAAGTTATTACAGTTATCTAAAAATATTTATAAATTCACATAATTATACAATAAAAAAAAGAAAAATATTTAGTATAAGTACAAAAAATGTACATATATACTCTAAACCAAGTACATATAGTTTAACATAAGTAATGCAATTAAAGTAAAAAATATATTGCAGGAAATTTAAGTTTGTATTTATATAGCCGCAAAAGAAGCATCTACCATACTTTCAGAACCAGACACTAACATCTACGATTTCTACAACTCAGTTTTGAACCAGTGTAGAAAGGCCTGGCGATATTGTTGGACAAAGTTTCCTGGTACCAACAAAATGAAAATCATTTTTAATGACATCAATCCATTTCCACAGATGCAAGAAGCCAACAGGAGCAAACTATCCTCCCACGCCTCAGACTAGGGCACACCAGGCTCATGCATAGGTACCTACTCGACGGTAATGCACCACCAAGATGTCGCAGCTGGAATAATGCTTTGACAATGGCACATGTTTTGGAAAATTGTCCGAGCCATTGGATCCATCAAGGACTTCGTATCGCCTGCTAGGATATCGGCAAGCCCTACAACCAGGAAATCAGAAGACTTTCTTCAATTTCTGAAAAAAACACAATTATTACAGACTTATTTAAGCAATAACATCTTTATACACGAACTCACTACGCAAATCAGAAATAACCTAAACAGTTGTAACAACTCGTTCTTTAAGCAAACATCCTAACAACATACACATTTGAAAAATACGACACGATCCCTACAGACATATTGAAATATAATTCAATAATCAATGTTACCTCTAACCTATATAGTTGCACACGGCACCTAA